AGCCCACCAGGCTCCCCCGNGTTTTAAGCTGCTCCTAACATATTGTTAAATTTCTTTTTATCTTCTCCATGAAAGAAGATACATAAATTGAAAATAGAACCTAACCTAAAAGTGATGGCTTGAGAGAAACATTTGGTGTGAAGTGTTCTCCCTGAAAGCATTCTAAACTTCATAAGAAGAGACACTCCACCCGTGGTATCCACCACATATTCTCTTGTGATGAATAAAAACCTGTCTCTCTTTTTAGTTATCATAACAAGTTGCTCACTGTAAGATTCAGGTTCAGAACTCACAGTGCCAACTAAGAATAACACCTATTTAGTTCAAACAAATACTTCTTGTTTCAGAAATGACTTAATTGACATGACCTAATAGGTATACCATGCCCAATGGAGCAATCTCATTTTAGCATAGTTTTTTTCCTATAGTTCTCATCTCTGTTGCACAAGAGTTGACTTGTGTAATATGAATAATGTTCTCAAAACCTATGCAACAATGTAATGAACTCAGAGAAGGCTGCACTGGCATAGAAAGTGCTGAACAAGCACACTCCAATTAACATGGGAATCTTTTGTGATTCACATCAGTACTTCAAAAGCAAATTATGTGCATCATTATTTTGCATTTTATTCCCTGGGATAAATCTAACAATATTAATGAAACATCCAAGGAATGCCTTGAGACTCTAAAGGATAAATAAAATTTTATTGTGCCTTTCTGCATATAAATCTTGTTGAATATACCTGGAGAAGTTGTGGCTCTAATGACTGAAGGACTTGCTCCACAAGAATTCCAGAGCTGCATTTTGAACCTGGAATTACACCTGCTGTTAGGTGACAGGTAACCCTACTAAAAATACATGATGCTAAATATTACTTATCTATTCATATAATTTAAAATGTCAAGAAATATATTTTCAGGTTTCCTATAGCTTTTATACAATATATCAAATGAATATTAAAGCAAAAAGATCTTAGTGTTTTTAACTTTTTGAATTATAAGCTAGTTAAAAATCATAGTGTTCTTTTAAAACATGTTGTTATCAGGTATATATTTTTATTTTTTCTTAATATTTTAAATAATTCAATAGGAGCTAATATTGGTAAGCTTGATGAGCAAAACATCACAACATATTTTATTTATCTAACTGAGACAAAATAAGAATCCATCCAAGTAAACATCCCAAGTAGATTGTAAACTTTAGCGATAATCAGATTTTTTAAAATGAATTCAAGAATAAGCTAAAGGGAATGGAATGTTACAGTAGGGATAGTTTGGAGCCATTAACTGCTTGAGTGATCAGCATCAGGAATAACAAAGAAGCAGACAAAAGGATTTATTCAGTGTCTGGAATATTAAAGAGATATTTGTGACACAGAAAAAGTAATACTTCAGCTTGTGAGGAAGTATCTGGTTCCTTTTATAAACCTATTTTTAAAATCTCTGTATTTGGACCATGCAAGCATCTCTTTGGAACCATGCCACGACCTTTCTAACCTCCGCTTTCTGACCTCAACTCAAGAGTAAGTTCTGGGTGTGACTCCACAGATAGGGACCGACTCCCCCAGGGGGCCAAGTTTCCAAGGCACGCAGCTTGTGGTCAATGCCGAGGTACACTCTCTTAAGGAAACAGTTACTAAGAACGTGAGCTGGGATGTGCATTTTGGTGGAATTTATTATAGATAACGTTGCGTTTCTGGTGGCATCATGAGGGCTGAAAGCTCCATTAACCTGCTCAGCACAGAGGGCATGAGCATGCTAATAGGAAGAAAACCATGGAGGCTGGGAGGGGAGATTTTGCTGCAGTGCTGCGTTCTGCACAGAGGAGAGAGATTCGGAAGCTCTCTGCGCGTGGAACTGGGTCTTCGTTTGCTTGTCATCTCAGGGGAGGGGCTTCTGGAAAACGGACCGGGCTTCATCGCCTCCCCGCCTCAGGAAGGCCTCTGGCAGCCCCGCGCGGGTGTGCCTCCAGAGCGGGCGCACGCGGACCTTGGCCTCCCTTCCCGGCACATACTGCTGTCTGCAGCCGTCCACGCAGCCGTCCACGCAGCCGTCCACGCAGCCGTCTGGGGGGCCCTGGGCGGCCCGCTGTGGCCGATCTGCAGCGCGGCGGCGCTCGCGGAGCCTCAGATGCTCTCCCCGAGGACTGGCGGTCCTCGGTCCCGTTCGTGCGCTTCCGGAGGCACACGTGGGAGCTGGCTGGTGGAGGCCCGCGCCGCCGCCCCGCTGGCTCCGGGGACGCCAGCCTCCGCGCGGAGATTTGAGGGGCAGCGTTCGCAAGCACGCACAAGCCTTCCGTCTTGCTTCAGAGTGCGCTGAGGAGTGACAGAGGATACGCGTGGCCTCCAAATCTGCCGATGTGAAAAGGTCGATTTCTCTGACTGAGCACGGGGCAGCCAGGGGTGTTCGCGGACCCAAATCTCCCCCTTCTCGGCCTGCCCTTCTTCCTGAAGCTGCCCCATCAGCCTTTGTTCTTCGGCACGTGAGGCTTTGCGCTCTTTAGGAATAATCTGTGGAAATGCATTTATTGCAGCAAAGGAAGATGCTTTTACATTCGTTTTTGCTTTCTTCAGGAAACAGGAATTTGAAGGAAAGTTTGAAAAGCTGTCGAAGACATGCCTCCGTTTATTTCCATTCATTTATTTAGCCATTCACTTGACAAACGGCAGGTTTTGTGGGCGAGAGAGAGAGAGACCACAGCTATTGCTGACCTCAAGTTCTTACCATAGAGAAGCGCTAACAGAAGTATTTGAATAATAGCACATGCTCAGTCGCTCAGTCGTGTCCGACCCTGAAACACTATGGGCTGTAGCCCGCCACGCTTCTCTGTCCATGGGATTTCCCAGGCAAGCACACGGAGTGGGTTGCCGTTTTCTCCTCCAGTGAATAACAATAATTCAAGGCAAAAATTTGATTATTGGCATAATGGTTAGCTTAAGCACATTCACTATCAAACTGTTTGCTAAGTACCACCGAAGTATCCTTTTAAAATAATTATGATAAGTAACATGTCTATTACGTGGCAACCTCTATCCTGAGTAGTTTTTTTTTTTTAATTAACTCATTTAATTCTCACAATGGCTTTGGGAGATGGCTCTGTTTTACTATCTCTGTTTTACATAGAGATTACATAATTTTCCCAGTTATTTTCCAACTTTTCTTTTATCACTAGTAAGAAAGAGTAGGCTTCTGAATCATGCCCAAATAAAAGGTGGTAGATACCAAAATAGAACCAGAAAGGAAAATATAATTGGGACACTTGTCTAAAAGAACCCAATAGCTACTGTGTTCAAAGTACCTGAATATTTGAATGAACTAAACTTTTATTTCACGAAATAGCACTACAATCACGCTTTAATCAAACAAGACCCCTAGTGAACCTTCTGTTGAGGTCAGTTTGATCCATCTAATGGGATACACATTACTAGGGTCACCTAAGATTTATTTGTCTATATGGAAGGGCCTCATCTTTTGCATTTTCTAAACAAAATAAAAGTAATTTATTTGATGGTGTTTGAAGGAAATAAAATATTTACATCTTCCATTTCCCTCCCTGTCTCTTTACCTCTTCTCCCATTTTCTTGATCTTACTACTGATATTTTTTCCTCAGAGTTATTACTTTAGATTGGGATATCATTTTAAAGTCCCTACTAAATGGTTATAAAGTGTGTCTACTGCTTTTCTCTGCTCAGCATCTACTTTTGATAATAACACTTTGTCGTGTCTTTGGGAAAGCACCTCTTACCAGCTTCTAATAAATGTAGTTTGAGTGGGACCAAACCCATCTCCTAGGAGACTAAGATTTAGATTTGGACAAATTATTATGTTTGGACCTATGTCCTAGGTGGACAAAGTTCCATTTTTAGGTCTCCCAGGTCATGCCTTTGGCAGTCAAGCCTGGGTTTTTTTTTTTTTTTAATCAAAACTTCTAGAAAAAGACAATTATTTCCTTGGTATTTACAAACAGAGCAGAAGGTGAGATTGTAGTTGTTGTTGGCCATCTGGTCATCACGTTGGAAGAACCTGCAAGAGAAAAAAGCTGTCAGAGGAAAGCTGAAGCCAGAGATGATGAGAAAGAGCTTTGTGACAATATTGCTCAACTACCTGAATCCACCTATACTCAGAAAATCCCCAGAATCTTCCATTTCATGAGTCAAAAGTTCTTTATGTGACGTGACCTGATTTGCTTTGCTTTTTCTGTCCCATAACTGAAAAAAGTCCTGAGTGACGCAGTGATCATGCGTGCGCGTGCTAAGTCATGTCCGACTCCTTGGGACCCTATAGACTATGACCCACCAGGCTCCTCTGTCCGTGGGATTCTCCAGGCAAGAATACTGGAGTGGGTTGCCACACTCTCCTGCAGGGGATCTTCCCGGCCCAGGGATCGAACCCACATCTCTTGCATCTCCTGCAGTGGCAGGTGGATTCTTTACTACCAGTGCTACCTCGGAGGCCCTTACAAGGATCACAGCCTTTTGCAAATATAGCACCAGAGATCACTAAAAATGATTAACAATGCAGAATTTAGGCTTGCTAAAATTCACCACCATAGAAGCTGGCCAAGGGTTAGGAGAATCGGAGTGTTTTTTTTTTTTTTTTAAGAGTAAATTTTATTTTATTTATTTATTTTTTCCATTTATTTTTATTAGTTGGAGGCTAATTACTTTACATCATTGCAGTAGTTTTTGTCATACATTGAAATGAATTAGCCATGGATTTACATGTATTCCCCATCCCGGTCCCCCCNTATACCATAATATAAATTCTATTAAAGCAGGAACTTCATTTTACTCATCATTGTATTTCTACCACCAAGCACAAAATATGGCACCAAATGGGAAGTTAATACATTGTGGATTAATGAACATATTGAGGGTACAGGGCTAAGAGAGTCATTGAGAAGTTCATCCACTTTGTTAGGCTCACTATGACGACAGTGGTCATTGTGAGAAAGGAAAGCCAGGTTTAATAGTCAAACAACTGAGTGACTTTGTAACTAGATTGAGTCAAGCCAGAGAGGCTGTAGGTCAGAGTGGATAGACCACACGCTCTAAAGTCAGGCAGAACATCTGGATCCAGGTAGCGTAATTCACTTCCTCTATGATCTCAGGCAATCACATTTAATTTCCCTGAGCCTTCATTTTCTCAGCTTCAAAACTGGAAGCACAACATTTCACGTGTTGTTATGGAGATCAAATGTAATAATGAACATAGAATCTTCGCACAACAGTCTGGCACACAGGTAGGGTAGCTGTCATTTTTTTCTTGTGATTGCTATTCATGTCATCATCGTTACTGTGAATCAGAACTGTAGAGTGGAAGGAGTTCTAGACATTACCAGGATGTTGTTTAACCACTAGGTTTTGTCCGACTCTTTTGCAACCCCATGGACTGTAGCTTGCCAGCCTCCTCTGTCCATGGGATTTCCCACGCAAGAATACTGCAGTGGGTAGCCATTTTCCTCTCCAGGGGATCCTTTGTCCTATTCCTAATCTTTAGAAAACAAATTTAAGCTAAATTTCTAATTTTAGGCATCTCAGATCTCCTAGGTATTCTTTTCTGTAATTATACTTGCGGAGAAATAAGATTGCGTATAAAACTACTTGGTAAGTTGCAAAGTAGAATCAGAATGCAAGATGATATTATTTTCCTCTGCTTTATATGGTTTTGTCCCTTTGCTTTTGGTATCTCTTTTTTGGCTCACTTGACCTTGGCGCTCAGACCAGTGTTCGTAAGAAACACCAGGAAACCTGAAAAATGCAGTTTCCTGGGCCCGGCTTTTAGAGACTTTGATTCAATAGGTCTGAGGTGGGGGGAAGAAGGTACATTTTAAAACAAGCTTTTCTTTCGATGCCCATGCAGATGAACCGGGGACATCCTTTAAGACGTGCCATGCTGTAATGTGTAACTGACTTGAAGACTGCCATGCTCTCTGGAATTGTAGATCCTGCCGGGTCTTCAAGCAGTGGTTGGTGAAGGCTACTACGAGAGCTGTGGCCCACTGTGCATCGTCATTTCTATTTGTAGCTGAGTGGAGCTGGCAGCAGGCACAGGCTGGCAGCGGCTTGCAGCACACTCCTTGTCAAAGCACATACTGTTTCTGCAGCTGGCCTATATTCCCTGTACAACCCAATTATACCAGCATTGCTGAGTCTTGTGACAGTCACACATTTCATCACCTTGGGGGACCAGGAAGAGCAGCTTGGCCGTGGCATGGGTGCCCTGTGCCCTCCCCTCCTCCTGTTCATCATGGCTTAGGAATCTCGTTGGTCTCGCTTGGCACTGAGCGTGTGCTGTTCTTAACCAGAGCTGTCTGGAGCCCAGACCAGGTCAGATATTATGTACAAGCTGCAGGTTATGGAGAGTTTACCTGTTGTAAAACACTCATTTTTGAAGCATTTCTACTATGAAGGTTGTCACTGTTATGATGACTGCCATGCCCTAGCTTTCCTTTGCTGGGCCTGTATGTCTCAGCAGAGCATTCCTCACCCTGGATGCACATGGCTAATTCTCTGTAATTTGACAGAAACCTACAGGGTGCATCTCAGTCTCCCTGTGTGATGGAGACCCACATAGCTTTTTCCTCTTAAGGGATGCAAAGGGGCTTAATAAAGTAGGTGTTTTTTTTAATTATTGTATGAAATATACAATTGCTATATGATGCATGCTCAAAAATGCCTCTTCTTAGTCATCTAATTAAAAAAATAACAGTAGCAAGTTGATACACAGAGAAACATGTTGAGAGTATACATCATCTGGAAAATTAACCAGCCTCAGGTTACATTTGAAAGTTGCAATTGAGCAAGATATTAAAATAAACAAGATTTCTTCTTTTTATATTTTGAAGCTATCCTGGCAGGTACATGGGATCAATAAATGTTGTCAATAACGACAACTCTTTAGGAGGTTAAGACCAGGGTTAAGACCTCCAATAGGAGGCTTGGGAGTTTGTGTCCTCCCATGAACACATCAAAAATACACCTACATGTGGAGAGATTTTCAGGAAAACAGAATGGAGACTAGCAGAAAGACTCTTGTACTAGCACGGTGATAAGAACGATTCACATGGATTTGGGTAGAAAGGGAAGAAAAGCGATCAGGTCAGACCTGCACACCTGGGGTAGGGGGACACCCAAGCCGGAGGTCACATGGGCTCAGAAATCCTCTTGGGGAGAGAGTGGTTGGAGTCACATGCTGGGTGCCCCAGCCGTGGGGACTGACCCTTAGGAGTCCTCTCCGTTGGCTTGAAAACCAGGGGGACTAAGACGAGTGTTGTGAGAAACCCAGATCCTTCTTCTGAAGAGCGTGCACACACTTGCTTACTCCCGACACGAGGCAGAGACAGCGGACTGAAACTCCCTGCAAATCTGGCCCAGCTTCTGTGACTGCCCCCGAGTCTGCTCTGGCTTGGGCCGAGGGTGCCAGTGCTGGATGGGGGAGCGCGCCCTCTTGGAGGACATGGCCCTTGGGGCTTCTGCTCCAGCAACTCTGGGGACTTGGCCCCATCTCCAGTGGGGTGGGGGTGGTTACTGAGCAGCGGAAATGGCCTGGCCCACCAGGGACTGGTTCTGGCCCCTCGACTCCGGCCCCAGCGTCCCGCCAAGGCCACAGCGGCCAGTGGACCCCAGGCAAAGACACGACTTGTGCCCGCAGTCAGACCCAGCCATCCAGCTGAAGCCACTGGACACGCATAGACTATTTAGGGAGGTTCATATACAACGTAGAGAAGGCGATGGCTCTCCACTCCAGTCCTCTTGCCTGGGAAATCCCATGGACGGAGGAGCCTGGTGGGCTGCAGTCTATGGGGTCGCAAAGAGTCGGACACCACTAAGCGACTTCACTTTCACTTTTCACTTTCACGCATTGGAGAAGGAAATGGCAACCCACTCCAGTGTTCTTGCCTGGAGACTCCTAGGGACAGGGGAGCCTAGTGGGCTGTCGTCTATGCAGTCGCACAGAGTTGGACTCAACTGAAGCGACTTCGAAGCAGCAGCAGCAATATATAAGGATGTCTATTTGAGACTGCAACTAGTAACTGTTTCACCTAATTTCACCAAAATAGAGAAAGCTAAGCAAAACGAGAAGACAAAGGAATTTACTCCAAATGAAAGAACAAGAGAAACTCCCTGAATAGCTAACTAATGAAACAGAAATAAATGATTTACCAGATAAAGAGCTCAAATCATTAGTAATAAGAGAAATAACTGAATTAGCATAAAGATTAGATGAACACAGTGAGAACTTTAACAAGGAACTAGAAAAAATAAAAAAACTAGTCAGAACTGAAGAATAAAATAACTGAAATGAAAAACAGACTACAAAGAATTAGCAGCAGACTAAATGATACAGAAAAATGCATAAGTGATCTGGAAGATAGAATAGTGGATCAACATTCATATTATTGGGGTCCCAGAACAGGATAGTCATTACCAGTAGGGATATGGAAGGGTGGAGAGGCAAGTTAGGGGTAGGGGATTAAGACGTACAAACAACTGTACAAAATAAATGTGCTACAAGGATATATTTTTCAGCACAATGAATGAAGACAATATTTTATAATAACATTAAGTAGAGTTCAGTTGCTCAGTTGTGTCTGACTCTTTGCAATCCTATGAATCGCAGCACGCCAGGCCTCCCTGTCCATCACCAACTCCCAGAGTTTACTCAAACTCATGCCCATTGAGTCAGTGATGCCATCCAGCCACCTCATCCTCTGTTGTCCCCTTCTCCTCCTGCCTCCAATCCCTCCCAGCATCAGGGTCTTTTCCAATGAGTCAACTCTTTGCATGAGGTGGCCAAATTATTGGAGTTTCAGCTTCAGCATCAGTCCTTCCAACAAGCACCCAGGACTGATCTCCTTTAGGATGGACTGGTTGGATCTCCTTGAAGTCCAAGGGAGTCTCAACAGTCTTCTCCAACTCCACAGTTCAAAAGCATCAATTTTTCAGCGCTCAGCTTTCTTTATGGTCCAACTCTCACATCCATACATGACCACTGGAAAAACCATAGCCTTGACTAGACGGACCTTTGTTGGCAAAGTAATGTCTCTGCTTTTTAATATGCTGTCTAGGTTGGTCATAACTTTCCTTCCAAGGAGTAAGCGTCTTTTAATTTCATGGCTGCAATCACCATCTGCAGTGATTTTGGAGCCCCCAAAAATAAAGTCTGACACTGTTTCCACTGTCTCCCCATCTATTTCCCATGAGGTGATGGGACCAGATGCCATGATCTTAGTTTTCTGAATGTTGAGCTTTAAGCCAACTTTTTCACTCTCCTCATTCACTTTCATCAAGAGACTGTTTAGTTTGTCTTCACTTTCTGCCATAAGGGTGGTGTCATCTGCATATCTGAGGTTATTGATACTTCTCCCAGCAATCTTGATTCCAGGAGTATAATTTGTAAAAATAATGAATCACTATTTTGTATACCTGAAACTAATATAATATGGTAAGTCAACTATCCCTCAATTTAAAAAGCAAACACACAAAAGAAAAACACAATTTCTCCTCTGAGATCAATGTTACATTTGAAAGTTATTTGGTATCAATTGGAAAAGCATGATTGCTAATATAAAAATCTGGCTCAATATAATATGACTGACACAAATAAAAGAAATGACTGGCAAATGTAAATACTGATAGTGTAGTTACAGTCATCTGAGAGCCACAATTAATCCTAAGTTGTACCTAAGTCTGTAGAATTTCTGCCTTATAAAAAATTAGCATGGTCCTAAAAGGTAAGAAGATACAGAAATTAAAACAGTTATCTTATTTGAGTATTATCCCCTCTATGACTTTCAGAAATAGGAGTTTGGGAAGGAAAAATAAAATGATCACAGACTCTATAAGAATAGAAATCCAATCTTCTGTGTTGACGTTCAAAGAATGAGAATTATTTAGCTGTAAGGATGAAGAGACATTTCTCTGAATACAACTGGCACCATGGGTTTCCTTATTCTTCTAAAACTTTGATAAAGTTATATTTTTCCTGAAGTTATTTTTTTTATGGTGGTGAAATACACATAGCCGAAAATGGACCATTTTAACGACTTTTTATGTATATACTTGAGTGGCATTGAGTGCAGTCACATAGCCACGCAACCGTTATTCATCTCCAGAACTTTTTCATCATCCCGAACTGAAACTCTACACCCATTAAACAATAACTCCGCCTCCTTCCCTCCAATAAAGTTACTTTTATAATTAATCATACTAAGAAACTGTTGACTACTGGATAGCTTTATTAAGAGGACAAATTTAATTATGGTTATACTATCTTTGGGAAAAATTGCAGCTGCAATTAAATAATTATCTTAGGGAAACTTTTATTACCCGTTGAAGGACATGGTCATTCATGGTTACAAGTTCCAAAATTTGAGGAATAACGATCTATCATGATTTTTAAAAGCACCAACTTTGAAACTAGAGCATTATTTAAGTGGTAGATTCTCTCCACTCCCCAAATGTGTACAAATCTAAATCCTCAGTCTTTGGTTGGGAATACTTTCTCATTTATATCTATACCGCTACTAGGCTGCAGCTCTAATACAGTCCACGGTTGGGCTTATATTAGTAAACCATCAGCTCACAGGTGACAAGATGATTAATTTTGCATCACAGCAGCACACCTGAAGACTGCTGGGATTTCCAGGCTTACGGCGCGGGAGTGGGGGAGAGTGTGATACAGGGAGTGCGTGGAGGCTTTAATGACCATGGTTCAGTAATCAATTCAAAATATTAAATTTCAGAGAGAGAATTCTACATTCTGTATTCAACTTTATTTTAGCTGTTATAAAATTCTTTTTCAATTTTTTTGTGGAAAAATATCAGTGCTATTCTAATATATGTTTATTAGCTATAATTTCAAAACAAAACTGGCTCTAGTAACATCAGGATGTAAGGTGTGCATAAAAACTGGAAAATGGGAAGGGATATTTAACCATTTAAGTAAAGTACTTTTTAAGTTAATGTCTATGTCAACTTTCAATCTTATTTTAGAAGTTTTTTGCCTTTTCTTGCTGAGTAATATTTTCATATTTACTGTTTTGCAGTTTCACCATGCTGTGCCTAAGTTGGACCTACTTTTTTTTTTTTTAACCAGGACTTACCAACATTTATTTTCAACATGATCACATTAAAAAACTTTCTGTATTTTTCAGAATTGTGTGCCTCAGTCTTTCCATAAAATAGTATCTGGAGAGTGCTGCTGCTGCTGAGTCGCTTCNCCCATAGACAGCAGCCCACCAGGCTCCCCCGTCCCTGGGATTCTCCAGGCAAGAACACTGGAGAGGGTTGCCATTTCCTTCTCCAATGCATGAAAATGAAAAGTGAAAGTGAAGCCGCTCAGTCATGTCCGACTCTGTGAGACCCCATGGACTGCAGCCCACCAGGCTCCTCCGTCCATGGGATTTTCCAGGCAAGGGTACTGGAGTGGGATGCCATTGCCTTCTCTGTGGACCTACTTTTATTTAAACTTTTTTTTTTTGCATTTTAAATCTTGGAACCGTCACAGATATTATCTCTTGAAGTACGGTTCATTTTCCAGTTGCATTTGGTGAGCCGTCTGTCTTTTGGTGCTGCTTTCTGGGTGGGTTGCTTAGTCCTGAGAGATTAAAATTAACTCAATCTCTCTTTGTGTAACACACAGGGTGTTTTTTTTTTTTAAGTCAATGAATACTTTTGTTTTAGATTTCTCACTGGTTGTATTTCTTCTTCATCTGATCTTGATTTCATTCTTGCTCATTCATTTTTAAAAGATCAACTTAAAAGAATATTTATCTGACCGCGTCGGGTCTTAGCCGCAGTATGCGGGCTCTTTTGTTACCAGGCAGGAACGCGCTCCTCCTGGTGCTCCGGTTCGGTAGCTGCCCCGTGGGCTCCGCCCGTGGGCTTCAGTAGATGCAGGGCCCAGGTTTAGCTGACCTGCAGCATGTGGGATCTCAATTTCCCAAGCAGGGATCAAACCCTGTCCCCTGCATTCAAGACAGATTCTTAACTACTGGACCCCCAGGGAAGTCCCTGAAATTTTATAAGGAATTCCAAGACCTTCCATCACAGTTACTTTGAAATTTAAAACATTTTAGTTTGTTAGTAATGACTAAGTCTCTCAGTCTTGCTGTTTCTTCCTTAGTGCTCATCTTCAGGGCTTCCTAAATTTATCATGAGTGAACTGTCTTTCCTGCCTGCCTTCCACCACCCCCAGATTCATTACTACCTGCCCTCTCATCCTGGGTGTTCTTCCCTGCCCTGGGATCTTGACTGAGACCCCAGCACTGACTTGGTGAGCAGCATGGCCTAGCTCTGGCCCAGGAGGAGTCCTCTGAGCTTCCAACTCTGAAGAGACAGAATTGTACACAAGGGAAGCCTCCGGCAATGGAGAGTTTCGTCAGCATTCTTTCCTTGACTAGGAGCACAAGTTAATGTTGCCCCTCCGTGTTTCTCCTCCTGAGTCTCCAAAAGCCCCTAGATTCCTTCTCTGTTTTTAAACCTATTCCTGGGGCATGGATTTTCTTTATTGTTTTAAAAATTGGTGTGATTGTCTTTTTATATCATTATTTAGTTTAAAAAGTTATTGCTTTCTTCAGAGTGGAGGAAAAAATGCAAAGTTGACCTGACCAGTGAGTGTCAACTGGACTAGGAAGCCAAGGTCTCTGTGTTAACTACTGAGATAATTAATGCTAAAATCTGTTTATGAACATAATAAATCAACTATCTCTTTGTACTCAACAATAATTTTTTTTTGCATATGCTCTAGCTTAAAACTTGGAAGATGAATCAGCTGATTTAGAACATGTCCCCTTCAGTAACTGAATGATTATTTAAATAAAAAGGTGAGGAGAGACAGAACTGATAAGAGGCAGTGTGGTTTCTAATAGCTAGATGATTCACAATTCTAGAGTCTGTTATTTTTATATTAGTGTATATTTTTTGTTAAACCATAACAACTTGGATAATTATCTCAGATATTCTCAGGAAAAAGTATAAGCTGCAGGAAAATGCCTGATGATATATATTATGATAAGGGTGAAAAATAGAAATAGCTACAAAAATCCACAGTACTAATACTGCAGGAGAAATAGAAATAAATTAACTTAAAATTTCAAGTGAGTTAGTGCCCTGAGTCACTAACTTTGCAAAGTTTTTTGGGTATATTTCTTTTTCTAATGAGTTGTCACATGTGCTTAACATCAACAACCAACAAGTGCTTCCTGTGAGATTCAAAAATGGTTGCATTTGCTTGAAATATTGAGCATATGAGTCACTTACAAAAGCTCGTACGATAATTAAATTAGAGGAAGAGTAATGAAGTACAAAGATCACACACGCTAGCTAAATTTAAGAGTGATGTTTTGTTGAGCTGCCAAGAAAATTAAAATCAAAATATTCTCACGTAATTTTATAAATGGTACAGAAATCTTTGACAATGATATAAAATTGTTACTCCACTTTTAAAATGAAACATTCAGCCAAATGTCATCTAATTTAATGAAATGGAACTGGAAAAGGCATGTGCATCGCATTGTACTGTCCTGTATTGTATTATACTGTACTGTATGTATTGTATTGGCCTTAAAGACTCAGTTTTGCTAAGACATGATTCACCCAAACCTTGCCTAAAGAAAACCATGTGTGTGTGCGTGTGTGCAGTACAAATGAAACAGGCTATGTTTTTAATTGATTTGCGCATAAAGAGTATCTGTTCTGGGAATGGACAGATATTGGACCATGTAAACATGCCTTTTTCCATATTTGAGGAAGAGGCTGAGCAACTGGAAAAAAATACGTGTGCATACTGCTGGCAGAGTAACTCTACGGGTGTGTGAACCTTAATTTGACACACCATGTAACTATTCCAGGCACAACACACAATTTTTACAAACAGACCGAGCTGAGAGAATCTCTGCCATTGTCCCATTGTCCTGCTATTCAGTCAACCCTGACTGTAACTATACCAGATATTTCAGGCTAGGTTACATGCAGTACTTTTTCAGAAAAAAAAAAAAAAGATTCATAATTATGGATTCACAAAATTTATGGACATAATTTATAAAGTGAACAACCAATCATTTACTTTTAAGCATAAGTGGACATGTTTCTGAATACATTTCTTTGGTAACTTCTATGCCCCACATGGCTCATGTCATTAAATCAATATAATCTATTTGAGAACTCATTAAGGTATTCAGCGAATCTAGTGACCATGTATGTATAAACATGACTTGTCCATTTCCCATGGTTTTTAAAGAAACAACCAGAACTTTCAGATTTGCTCTCTTTCATGTTTTCATTGAGAATATTTACTTGTGTTTTTATTATTATTTCTCTGTGCACTTTGACAAGATCTTGTCTTCTGGGACAAGAATACGGCTATTTCAGAATCTTTACTATGTTAAGCATAATAAATACAATAAAAGGGGAAAAAGTTAACAAGGGAATTCCCATTTTTAGCAGAGAAATAAAATGTGCCAACATTTCTGTATGCTTCTAAAGAAATTCAAGAACTTAGCCAGCAATGATGACAGATGGAAACTTGAATAGAGNGGACAAGAATACGGCTATTTCAGAATCTTTACTATGTTAAGCATAATAAATACAATAAAAGGGGAAAAAGTTAACAAGGGAATTCCCATTTTTAGCAGAGAAATAAAATGTGCCAACATTTCTGTATGCTTCTAAAGAAATTCAAGAACTTAGCCAGCAATGATGACAGATGGAAACTTGAATAGAGACTGGCCCATCCAAGACATGAAAGCTATTAGGATTTTTCTGATGAATAATAATGTATTAATAATATTAACTAAATAGTTCAGTTAAAAATCCTCTGCCCATTATACTTAGGGTCATTTTTGTGTTTTATCTTCTTCATCCATAGGATAAAGAACTATGGATGGAGGTTTGTAACACTGAACATGAGGTGGTGACCCAAACCACCCACAAGAAAAAGAAATGCAACAAAGCAAAATGGTTATCTGAGGAGGCCTTACAAATAGAAGAAAAGTGAAAGGTAAAGGAGAAAGGGAAAGATATACCCATCTGAATGCAGAGTTCCAAAGAATAGCAAGGAGAGATGAGAAAGCCTTCCTCAGTGATCAATGCAAAGAAAAAGAGGAAAGCCACAGAATGGGAAAGACTAGAGAACTCTTCAAGAAAATTAGAGATACCAAGGGAACATGTCATGCAAAGATGGGCTCAATAAAGGACAGAAATGGTATGGACCTAACAAGCAGGAGATAATAAGAAGAGGTGGCAAGAATACACAGAAGAGCTGTACAAAAAAGATCTTCATGACATGGATAACTACTCACCTAGAGCCAGACATCGTGGACCGTGGAGTCAGCTGGGCCTTAGGAAGCATTACTATGAAGAAAGCTAGGGAAGGTGATAGGATTCCAGTTGGGCTATTTAAAATCCTACAGGATGATTCCAGCTGAGCTATATAAAACCCTTAAAAGTGATGATGTAAAAGTGCTGCACTCAATATGCCATAAAATTTGGAAAACTCAGCAGTGGCCACAGGACTGGAAAAGGTCAGTTTTCATTCCAATCCCAAAGAAAGGCAATGCCAAAGAATGTTCAAACTA